GAGTCATACACCAAAACTTTTAGAATGTTTCTTTAGGTGACAGTGTATTAGTCATTGAGCTTATTTCATAACAAAATAGCCCGACAACAATAACAAATGGGTGATTATGTATGTGTCACACTTTGCTCAAGTAAATAAAAAGAATGATCTTTGATAATACTGTTGGACTGTACAATATTGCCTTGACGTGGGATTTTTGTGACCCTTACTGTGTTTCAGCTGGAGAAACTTCTCGAGAAACTTGACGTATACGAATCTGCAGTCGGCGATTCTTCTGTGAAAGGCGTTACTCACATTGCAGCCTTCCCTCCTGCTTTTGAAGCAGTGCCCCGTAATCCCATTGTTCTCGACCTTGCTCATAACTGCGTAGAGTTCCCATCTCTTGAAAACAGGATGAAGAAGGACAAGAAGGGCTTCATAAGCAGGCTATGGCGATGAACCCTGTTGATGAGGTTTTTCGATTGTGCAGATTTATCTTCCAGCTGCTCTCCGTTTCACCATCTATTTAATCTTCCGGGAGGGGCGTGTTGAATTTTGGCTCAAATTGCTTGCATTTCGGTGAATGACCTCCGATATATACTTCTTTTTCAAAGTTTAGGCGCTCTTAACATTTTCACTTGACAAACAACTGCATGAACTTTCTTCTCCTACGAGCATGACGCCGAGGAAAATGGAGCAGCGCGTGAGATTTCGTCCAGTTTATTTCATTTCGGCATTCAATAGTATTGTGAAATCGGGAAATTTTGGTATGTATCTATAGATGTCACACAACTGCTCTAATTTTTCTCTTTCTAAAGACTAGCAAAAGAATAGTGAGAGAACAAGAATGATGCGAAGGCAGATTGTTTACAATTGTTAGATGCTTTCCGAAGCAAATTCATCTACGGAGTCTTTTGATTACGTTAGTAGGACCTCAATCTGTTTTGGCAAATTTTCTACTTTTGGTAATCACCCGGTACTTTGACGTTCTTTCTCCGCACGGGAAGTTGCTGACCAAGGAAAGAGTTTACCCCAACTGGTCAATGTTATAATGCTCGCTTTATCAATTTCATCTACCAAATGACTACAAAGAAGAAATGTAATCCACGCTATATGAGGTAAACACGTGCACGGATTGTTTTCCATTGTTATATTCATGCACCTATACACAAACTTTTTGAAAGTAATTCACTGATTTTGTGCCTAAGGTGCACTTGTTAACGAGGCCCATAAACATAACATCTTTTTCATTGACTTCATTCTTGGTGGGGGTTCTTTAAAACTCACAACAATATATATATATATATATATATATATATATATATATAAAAAAAAGGTCACCCAACAAATTTCCATGATGGAAATTGAAAGTCAGACAATTCCACGATGTAATCTGTTGTTCGATCTGAACCTTCGGGTCCAACAGATTTCAATGATGGAAATTGAAAGTCCGACAATTCCATGATGTAATCTATTGTTCGATCTCAATCTTAGGGTACATCGGATTTTGTTTGTTTTTTATTTCTGCACTTCAATTGCCCTTTTGCTAGTGTCTTCTTCGTACACTATTACAGTTTTCTTAGTTACCTTACCTGCAACATCTCTCTCTCAGCTCTCTCTCAACTTCTGTTAGAACACTACTTCACCGATCACTATCCGACATTTTGCATGAAACCCATGAAAAGGATCAGCCCAAAAGCCATCTCTAACATCATATTTTTATCATTATCTGCATTTCTTTGGAATGACAACACGAATACGTGCTCGAAAAAACTGGTTATTCGATGGGACATATGGTGGGTTCATTCATTTCTGGCGTCACCAAAAGGATTGGTGGTCTCTTGGAATCTCCTCGCAATTTCATGTCAGGAAAATCTTGCAGGTAAGCATCGCCCTGCTCTGAGTCATTCATTCTTTTGTTCTTAGTTCGAAATAAAAGAAAATTAAGTTCATGCTATTCGGTTTTCGTCTGTTTAGAAGAAGCCTGTGCATACACGAGTTGCATGAGACAATGCCTGTGCAATGTGAAATACGTGTGCATGTAGCAGTGTTTGTCTGTGTTGATAGAAGCCCTGTGCGTCTAAAGTTACATGAAACAATGTCTCTCTCTTTATTAAAAAGTGGAAGTACTTTGTATTTGAATTTTGAGAGTAATTTTCTGTTAAAATTGCGCTTCAGCTCTTTTTGCAGATCGACATGGGACTTCCTCTGTTAAATAGAGAACTTTTGTATTGTCAATCTGCTGTAGATGGCCGCGGTTGCGATTCGTCTGTACATAAGTATGGTGCCTAGTCTTTCAGGATCATAGTACTATAAACTGCAGCCTTCGAATCAATGGAAAACTTTCGAGCTTGTTTCTTTTTAATCAGCTATCGACTTACATTCAAGGGTGCTTTTCATGTCATATGGCTCGGACTTGTTTTCCACATTATCAGATATAAGGCTACAGAGATTGCAGTTATGCTTCTGAAGCTTTCTAAGATTAGCACTCGGGTACCATTGTCATTGATATAGTCCCTTCATTTTAGCTGGTGATTTTGAGACGTATCTTTTCCTGACGATCTAGTATAGGTTCCATTTGTTATCTTGCCTGCGACGAAACAGATGTGAAATGAGGCTGTGCAATAATCTGTCTTTTAATTCAGGTAAGCTAAACTTACAAAGGTATTTAGAGGCTGAAATGTCTTGAGAGGCCTAATTCAGTCCAATAAATTTGGGTTGTCTGCTCGCGTGTTAGGAATTTGATTTTTCCTTTTCATTTGCAGTTCTGCTCTTCTTTTATCTTCTGTACAAATTGGGCATCTTCCGGTGTGTTGGCAGGAGCCTTGGCAAATTGGCATGGTCATGCTTCTTTTGCTGCTTCACCGCCCTATGTTGATGCTTTTTCCTTCAGGGATAAGCTTCTGAGCAGTGTGACAGAGTTAATTGAAGGCGCTGGAGAAGTGTGGAAGGCTTGTATTCAAGCATAGAATATGACGACTACGATGGAAACTCTGTGTATGATATGAGTAGACATATGGAAATTAGGAGTTCATCTCATCATCTGAGATGCCGTAAACTTTCTCACTTGAGGAAGTCTTTGCAGCCAAGAAGTAAAATAAGCATGAGCAGATATGATCACAGGAGAAAGGCTTTGCAGCAGCATTGCAATTGCGGTGGCTCACTACGTGATTTTAGGGTAGTTAGGACAAAGAAACTTGTGCTAAAAACGCACAGATTTTGACCATGGGATTGGCCGAAGGTGAAGGAGGTGAGATGGCGGATCTAAAACACACCGGAGGTGAATTTTTCTTGCGAAGTAATCTGCGGTTGCATTCCTTTCAGCACTTGCGCATAAACATGTCCATAAGACTTCATATAATATAAGTTTACTTAACTCGATTTTGCTTGGTACTTACTTCACGAGATGTTGAAGTTAATTATGATGGTCCCTTATTAAAATTCTTCTGCCTAAACGGATCGAGCTTATGCCTCTATAATCGACGTTTGGTAAAACCTAGATTAGAATTTATAACAACCCATTGTGTATTCCATTCCCACAATATTTTCTCTCGTTACCAGATGAAAGAATCTCGTTCCAAATTCCATATTTCTTCGTAACCCAACAAAGAGATGGAATCCTGATTTCATTTTATTCTATTGTTGCGAATTCCATTTTGCTTCGTTGTACCAAACACATCATTAGCTTTTGGTATACTGAGTCTAACAGGTTTGTGCTTATGTTTCTGAAGTGTATCGGCTAAATATTATGCATAATATCTGGGAAGTACAAGCACCACTCAGCAAGACATATTCACCAGCTATTGTACAACTCAAGTCACCAATCTGTCTCTCATTCTCATGAATTCACTTCAAAGAACATTCCACAATCACTTTGCCAACATATATTGATTTTTATAATTCATTAGAGGATTCAGTTTTGAGAATCAAACAATCTGAAGAAAGTCTCTTGGAGTAATACAGCTGCATACAGCCAATTTTTTTGAGTTTGATGTGATGTGAGTGCACAGATGTTTTTCATGCCTCTTAGGGTGCGTTTGGCAACTTGCCAAATAGTAACTGATTCTATTCTTTTGTTCCCAGAATCAGTTTGGGAATAAAAATCCGTTTGTTAAATTTTTTTTGCCCGGACACAATTTTGCAAAAAATTGTGCCCAGAATCAGTTTTGGAACAGAATTAAGAAGCAAAAAAAAGTAGCTTCTTGATTATTGAACAATTTTTCCGGAACTGATTCTTCTTGGTTTTCTTCCTTTCTTTGGTTTGTTGTTGTTCTTCGGCCCCGCCACCCGCTGGCCACCGGCCGCCGGCTACCGACCACAGGCTAGGGCCGGCGAGGGCGGCTCGTGGTCGCGACGGCAAGGCCTCGCCCAGCCAAGGCGAGGCCGGCCTTGCCGTCGCCACCCAGGCGACCGACTTGGCTGGCGACGGCGAGGCCTGCGGCGAGGGCCGCAACGCCCTCGCCGGCCTTGGCCTGTGGCCGGTCGCCGGCGTCGGCGGCCGGCCATGGCCAAGGGAGGGAGGGGAAAGAAAGGAAAAAAAAAAGAAAAAAAAGAAAGAAATATTAAAAAATTCAAAGTATTATTAATAAAAAGAAATTTTGTGTAGTTACCAAACGCATTTCTGTTCTTTTTCTATTTTAAGAACAAAAATTTTGGGCAGTTACCAAACGCCTTCAAATGCTTAGAAATTGTTTCCGGGCATGGAATTAAAAAGAATCATTTCTGTCCAGAATCTGTTTCTAGACACAGAATGGTGGCCATGCACAGTCTTAAATTCAAGATATAGGAGCCCATATTCACGCCCATTATATTTACTTTCTTTTTTGACCAAAACAAAATTATATTTACTTTCTTTGAAAGATGTTCCAAACTGTTAAGTGTTCTTGAGGTTTGCCTAAATTACCGGAACATGTCATCATCTGCCACGGAAAGGTTGCCATTGCTTTGCATGAAACTTGTCGTCTCCTTAAAGCAATCTCTAGCGAACATCCTATGTCTTTCCTTGCCTGGCTTGAATTGGCGGCATTCAAACGTTGGTTGTTTACACGTTTATGTCAGAAGAATATGGAATGTCGTCGCTCACTGGACATTGGGTTTCTTCTACTTTGCATTTGAGATTGCCTTCTTTCTCAAGAAACCTAAGCTTCATCTCATTCCAATTCCTCACAATACATCCATTATCTATCCCATCTTTCATCTTTCGTCTAAATGTTAAAAAGGGTCAAAGAGAGAAAGCTTTCTTCTCAATACTCATCGTCTTTTGAATTGCCATGGACAACGAAGAGGACAACAGGAACTCGAGGAACAGGCCGGCCACCCCTCCCGCCGGGATCAATGACGACCTTGGCCCTGATCTCGCCTTCGCAATGTCTTTACCACAAGGAGAGGAAGAACAAGAAGCACGAGAAGAGACAGACCGCTTGGCGACGCTCTCCACCATCGAGAGCGAGTCGGAAGAAGAGGATGTAGACAGCGACGAGGAGTCGAGCGACGGGGGCGAAGAAGAAGAAGACCGTTTCGAGTACTTCTCGGGCATGGGGTTAGAAGTCGAACTCGGGTTCCTGGAGGGAGAAGACAGCAGCCCGAGCGACATGGACATGGCCGAGTTCGATGACATCGATCCGGACGAGCTGTCATACGAAGAACTGATTGAGCTCGGGGAGATAATCGGGGAAGAGAAGAGGGGACTCTCGCTAGAACAAATTGGTAAATGCTTCAGGCCATTCACTTTTCAATCGCAATCAGTAATTGATAGGAGAATGGGAGCGATCGATAGATGTGTCATCTGTCAAATAGAATACGAAGAAGGCGACAAGCTAGTGGTTCTTGATAACTGCGAGCATCCTTACCATTCAGATTGTATCACCCGGTGGCTTCAAGTTAAGAAGACGTGCCCCATCTGTAGCTCTGAAGTTTCCGCGCCCAAGAAATCATTGACTTAGTTGTATTTATTTGGTCCAAATTGTGAATAAATGATGCCTTATATTTTAGTCAATTGATGTGTGTATATTATCTCAAATTTGATTTGTGAAGATAGCAATGTGCAGTTTGGCATTGAAAGGAGAGAAGAAGAAGATTGGAGACAAAGAATGTGGGGAAAATAACCAAAAAAGTCCCAAATGTATTGCATTTTTGCCAGTTCAGTCCTAAACCTTTCGAACGTGCCATTCGAGTCAATCCGGCCAAATTAAATTGGTCGGATATCTCTGTCGTGGACGCCGACTGTCCTACGTTGAGCACCCTAACATTTATCTAAGCTAGATAGATTGTTCGATTTATTGCAACTCGCCTTACCTCGTCAACCCAGTTCGTGGGTCGTGACCGAGTGCATGGGTTGCGGCCGAGGCCATTGTTCTCTTACCACCATGCATACAGTTTCTTTCACTACAGGATCGCGACGGGCTTTGACGGGCCGGTCCGACAGGTCGAGGCCCAGTTATCTCGTCCGTTAGGTTAAATAATGTATGGGCGTGCTATGCCTATTCAAGCCGGGCGTACAACAGCTGTAGTGTGCAATTAATGGTAGAGGGAAAACCCTAAGGTAGACGCAAAAACGATCAAAAGCCCAACCACCATGGAGGGTGACAATTCGAACATGGTGACCATGTACTCTTAAGAATTCCAGTAGCATGTCGCTGTCCTCCGATAATAGGTGGTGCTGGTGGTTCGCTGCGTGGGCCGCATTGGGCCCATCTGCGAAGGCTGTCCACATCGTTAAATATATAACTCGATCTAGTTCCGGGCCCTACTCATCCGTGCATCAATTGTGTGTGGGGCCATTCAATTGATTAAATGAGTTATTTACTCCAACAGAGGGGGAGGGGGGAAATTGCTATTCGTCGATGTGTCGGTGTGTCCAATCTGGGAATCGACACCCGACTAATTAGATACAATGCTAGCGATTTCTGCAAAAAGAAATAGGGGTGATCGGTTTCGGGTGGGTCGGTTCCAGTCGTGGAACTGGGAAACAGACCACGCAGGGTCGGTTCCCAGTCCGTGGAACCGGGAACCGATCTTGTCCGACCTAGAATCGGACCGGACCGGCTGGTTCTGGGAATTGGCGGCTTTATTTTTTTAAAAATGTTTTATTTTCTTTCTCAAAAGTTCCTAAATATATTCAAAGTTACTTTAGTGTATGATGAAATTACTTTTCACAAGAAAGTTACTAGTAAAAGAAAAATCACTCTGAAACATAATTTGTACATTTTGCCTTTGCTGAATAAAAATATACATATATACATATTCTGGGTCGGTTCGATCCAGTTCCTCTCCAAAATTCGAGAACTAAACTAGTTATTCTTGGTTTCAAAAATTTGGAAAAAAAAACCGGACCAATTTTCTATGAGAACCACCAAGAACTGGCTAGTTCGATATGGTCCAGTTCCTGGGTCAGACCATTACCGATGCACACCCCTAGTAAATAAGAGGTTAGGGATGGTCGCTAAATTGGTATAGAGCATGTCTTTCTATGCTTGAGATACTACGTCACTTTCAAAGGCTAGTGGCCGAAGTTATATATACATCGATATATGTATAGAAATTGTTAAACATGAGGGAAAAAGCCATAAAGAACTCCAAATTATATTCATTGCGAGACATTTAATTTCAACTTCTTCCTATGACATAAAAAACCAAAAATAATGTCAATTATGACACATTTACCTTAAACTTCACGAAAAACTCCAAAATTGTATTATTGTAACACATTTACCCTCCGTCAATGTGTCGTCGGATGATAATCCAACAAAAACGATGTCATTTTTTATGCCGTGTCAACACCGTTTCCTTTTCGTTGTCTATGTAAGCAGATTTTTGAATGTGCTCATTAACGGAATTTTGATGGAAGACAAATATGTTACACAAGTACAAATTTAGGAGTTTTAGGGTAAATGTGTCACAATGGGTATAATTTGAGATTTTTGGCCCTTTTTTTTTCCCTAAAAACAATCATAAATATCCTTATTTCTCCATGTTGTTTCTTTCTAATCTAGAAAGCATCTAATCTATTCTTTTCTTGTCGGTGCGTGAAGGGTAATTAATTCCCCAAAAAGAATATGCTGACGTCGAATTTAGATGGAAATGTCTTCATAATTGTGAAATAATACAGGAGACACGGACATTAATCGTGACCACGAAATCCTCATATTACTCGCGGAGACAAGAAACGTGGAAAAGGATGCTTGTCTTGTATCTTTTGAATCCAAATGAAATCTTGTGTCTCCGTTTCAAGCTTCCAACATCGCCATCATCCTCTTGTTGTCGATTAGTCTTCTGCTAGTCTTTGCCCTTCCTAAGGGTCATCGTCCCCATTGGTCTATGCACACGTGCGAAGCCTCATGGTGTTTGGTAAGACTTAGGCCATCCCACTTCTCTGTCCACCTCGTCACGGCTTCTTATATCATAAGATTCAATCATACCACCACCGCGCAATCGCAATTGTATGCACAAACGATGCCGATGGGGACCGAATTTGATGGATGGGATGGGCTCCGGAAGCTGACTCGTCTTTCGAAGTTGATATCGCTACTTTTTGTATACGCTCGTATAAACGTTTTTCTAATAACGGCCGAACAAGAAAAAGGAAAAGAGAAAAAAAAAGAAGAAGACGGTTTCGGACCCTGAAAACAACAGATTCTATTGATCAGAATGGACAAGTTGTTTTAGATCCATGAGTTTTCCAATGTGTGCGGTGGTCTTAGATTCCACATGAACTCAACACAAGAGGCCAAAAGCCTGCCTACATCTTCTTAGGGGGGGCGTTGGATTGTCCTATCTAACAGCACCATATGGTGGCACCAAGGCTGCGGTCACCCATCATACCAAGATAGAAAAATCGACCACTTCTACTTACTTACACCGATTGAAGTCTCAACTTCCTGTCCTTGTCATCTAAATCCACAAGCATCAGAAACCCAAAATTTTCTTTTGCCCAATTCCCATAAAATCAAAGTTTGCTGGTGCAAATCAAAATATTAACTCGACGATAAATAAGCCGGCAAAACGGGAATATTTGCTATGTCTACATCTCCCTTTCCGTGAAAATAATAGGCGTCAATTCCTCTCGCCTACATTTTAACAGCAACCTTAATAGCACATTATGTGTCCTTGTCAAATTTTCACGAGATTTCGGTAACTTAATAAAAAAAGGAAAAAGAAGAAAAGAAACAAAGGTCATTGTCAGCAAAACACCACTGTTGGAGCTGTGTCGGCAGAGGTGATTGAACGCGCGAAAGCAAAGCGATGAGTGGGAGCAAACTCTTTGGGTTTTCCTTTTAATGATACGAGATGATTGTGAATGGCTAATGATCTCGAGCACCCACATGTGCAAGAAGATGCTGGCGATCAAAGAGCCCACCAGATCTGAACGACCAGTTCTGGATTCCACAGATCATCTTAACTTACTACTGTCAGAGCAAAAGGCAAATAAAAGAGAGTAGGAGGTGGAGCTAGAATCGTCACGAGAAGCAGAATTTGTCCTTTTCGGCACATGCCCATCTCGTCCCCCAAAAGCTTATTAAACAAATCCTGTCGAATTCAGAAAACAATTGGGGAGTGATTAATCTTTCTTTTTTTCTGATGATGACGATGATGGTCTTCCTTCGAGTTCAGCAAACCACGGTCCAAAACGTGATCGTCAAGGCTCATAACGTAACCGTGATGTCTCCCACTCCCTCCCACCTGATCATCAGCTGGCTTCGTCGCTGATGAACTCGAGATCAAACACCAAATCGCCATCACATGGCATGCCCCCGAAAGGAAGACGTCGGTTGCCGCTTGTTTATGTTTTGATCACATCAGAAGATGTGGAGAAAATAAAAAAGGATTGGAACACCAATGATCCTTAAATTTTGATCCAATATATAATGTGATCATTGAATTTTTAATTTATGCAATATGATCCTTGAACTTTGACCTGATGTCCAATGTCGTCCCTAGAACATTTAATTTGTCCAGCGTGGTCTGTGAACATTAGTCCAATGTTCAATATAGCATCTAGATTATATAAAAATGTTTAAGAGTTCAGGGATGACATTGCATATTGAACTAAAGTTCAAGTACTGCATTGTATAAATTAAAAGTTAAGGACGATTTTGCACGTCAAATCAAAGTTCAGAGATTACATTTAACAAATTAAAAGTTTAGGAAAGATACTGCGCATGGATCATTTTTGTTAATTTTTTCTAAATGAAATGGAAAGAAAGGAAAATCAAAAGGGTTAATATCACGAAAAATCTCAAACTGGTACACATATGATAAATTTACCCCAAACTATTTTTTTATCACAAAAAATCTCAAATTGGTACATTTGTGACAATTTTACCCTGAACTATTTTTTTAACTACTAAAAACCCCATACTGGTACACTTGTGACAATTTTATCTCAAACTAATTTAAACCCCAAACTGGTACACTTGTGACAATTTTTCTTCCAACTAATTTTTTAACCATTAAAAACCCCAAACTTGTCCATTTATGACAAATTTACCCTCCGTCAGTATCCATTAAATTGGATTAATATCACGAAAAATTACAAATTGGTAAACTTGTAACAAATAGAGGGGCAAAATCCCAAACTGGTATATCCATCAACTACCACGTGTCATCAAACTTAGCAATTTGTTAGTAAAATTTAACGAAAATTAACGGAGAGTACATTTGTCACAGGCGTACCAGTTTAGGGTTTTCGGTAGTCAAAAAATTTAGTTCGGGATAAAATTATTACAGATGTACCAGTTTGGGATTTTTTATAGTTAAAAGATTAGTTTGGGGTAAAATTGTCGTGGGTATACCGATTTGGGATTTTTTTGGGTCAAAAAAATAATTTTTGGTAAATTTTTAACGGGCGTACCAGTTTGGAATTTTTGATGGTATTAACTCAAATCAAAAGGATAAAAAAAAACAAAATAGTGCACGAATCCCCAAAAGAAGAACAGGAGGCGCTTTGAATGTTTGACTGACCAAACAAGTGCAGCAGAAGAAACCCAATCGATGATG